AAAAATTAGAAATCAATAGAAATTGGCATTTTGTCAAGCAGACAACAGGTCCCGTTACTTCCTGTTTTTTGCTCAGTGGAGCTAAACTCAAGAGGCAGGCAGTCGCCTAGTCACTAGAGCACCCGCTTTGCAAATACTTCTCATTGAGAACTGCTACAGAATGTCTGTGCTTGGGAAGAAGGGGAGGGCAGCAGACAAGATAACCTTGCAAGCTGTTTATACATCCCCTTTGAAAAATGCATACTTAAATGCATCCATGTCGTCATTTAAAGCATATCTACAAAATGGTGATCTTTATTTGTTTTGTGTGTTCAGTGGAGCATCCCATTATGCAGCACAATTAACATTTATTTATTTGTTTCTTAACCTAATGTTATGTAATGTCTTATTTTCTTTGCCCTCAGACTTTCAAAAAAGCAACGAAAGAAGAAACAGCAAAAGGCTCCAAAGGTGTGTTGTATAAGAAAAGCGTATTATTATATTTATTTTGGTACAATACACATTGATACTTGTACTTTGTTGCTGTTGGCAAGATACGTTTTTTTTTTTTTTTTTATATCCACATCATCCACCTGAATAGAATGTTCCCATTAATTTCTGTGCAGAAGCAAAGTGTATTGGCTCCATGCCTTTTAGTAATCTTCGCTCTTTTTAACAGGTGATTGATGACAGCTTTGAAGAGCAGCACCCCACAGAGTCTAACAAAAGCCCCCAAGCTGAGCCGATTAAACCAACTGCTGTTATAGCAGCAGAGCAGCCGGTTTCGGTCCTCCCAGACACAGATACTGCCACAGAGCAGCGTGAAACCATCCTTCCTGACACAAATGCCACACCACTGGCAAATGACACAGAGTCACAAAACGATGAAAGTAAAATGTAAGTAGTGCATATTTCATTGCCAGTGCACAGTGACAAACTTTTGTAAAACTTTATTTTTAATGTATTTTTTAACACGTAAACGTTTTATCTTTTTCCCTTCCCCAAAAGAGAACCTAAGGTGACTGGGAAGAAAGGCAAAAATGTGAAAAAGCCATCAAAGCAGACCACACAGACAGACAGCCAGACTGCGGTATGGTGAATTATTTTCTCTTCATTTGGTAAATTGTATATATCCACAATCTATAGCTGCGTATAGCACTTTGCGTTAGGGTCTGCAATCAGAGAAAATAACCCAAAACACCCCCCTTCCCCCCCCAAACGTACGTTGTTTTTTTGCGTGTTTTTTTTAATTTAGTGATAACATGTATTGAGATTTTTTTTTTTTTTTTTTTCTCAAATACATAGCATGCTAACCCAAGCTAATGTAAAAGCATCCGCAGAAATCTAACCTGAGGACACAGTTTAGGCACACTTTTATCCACAAATTGTTGAGATGGTGCCCAAGTTTATTTTTCTGACTCCATAACAAACAAATTCCAAAAGCACTGGTGCTTATGGTGCCTGGATTGTGTCTTAAAATTATACATATTTAAATATTGGTTGTAGACCTACCACTGAATGTGTTTTAATTTATGTTGAGAAGAATGCAGTACAAAACTGACTGGAGAAAGAAAACAAATTAAGTCATTATTTGAGTCTTGGGGCATCACCAAGAACACTTATGTTCTATTCTCCTGTTCTGTCTTTAGGGGCCAACTCTTGAGATTTTCATAACCTGTAATGCAAGTCCTATTTAGATTTTATTATTAATTTTTCGATTCTGGAAATCGGCATGCTGATATATATCTTATATACCATATAAATAACCATGGCTTCTTGTACCCAGTGTGGAAATAGTTGAAGTTGCATCTTCCTAATATCATTTTCACCTGTTCTTCATTGCAGAAAGAAGGTCCCCTTTACTGTAACACTTGCTCAACAGAATTTCCAACACGGAACAAACTGTTTACCCATCTGAAAACATCAGGACATGCACTTGCATTAAACAACCCCACAGGAAACCCAGCTGGTAGCAGCAAAAGTAAAAAAGAAAAACGAAAAAAATAGATAACTTTACATGAATCAAAACTTGAAATAAGCCCAATGACTCTAATGTTCTATAACTTTATTATAGCTGATCTGCCAGCAATTTGCTTTAAAATACAGCATGGATCACTGTGTGAGTGCCTCAAAGCAGACTTTTGGTGCTGAAATTCCAGCTGATCTGGATTTTAAAAATATGTACTGTACAGTTCCACCCATCTGTAAATTTACCTGCTGCTGATCTGAGAGATGTAATCCTTTGTGTTGGTACCATGGCTCCGCTCAAATGTTTTGCGGGTGGAAGCAAATTTGCCTACACCCATTGAAAGACAATATCCCCGTGCTTCACTGTATTCTTTTATGGAGTATATTTTTATGATTTAATGTTGCAAATTGTCTAAATATTGGTAATCTTTCAGCTGCTTAAAGAGATGCACAGGGGTGGAGATGAATATCCTTTTTCTAAAGAATCAGGTTGATATGTTAAAAATATCGGTATGTTTAAAAAAAATAAATTTGAAAAAAAGTGACATTCTCTCCTGTAGTATCCCATGATGCGGTACGGAACTAAATGAATAATTTCATCCAATCAGTGCCGTTGCATCCTAACATATGGGCTGGCAATGAGTTTGTATGATTATGCTTGATGTCATACAAGCTACTTTTCACTTGCCAATTGCTAATGGCAAGCACTGCAAATACAGCCAGCCCTGGTGAATGTACCATGAATCCCTTCAGGCTTGCAGTGACTCTATAATAATGATAATCATGTGAGATGAGAGAGCTCAGTGGAAAGGGCTCTAGCTATAGTATCTGGTTTAATAATTTGATTCCAAAAAACTTTTTATCTTTCCAAGATTGATAAAATGAGTACCGGTAACATACCATTTAGACCTCAGGAGATTTTGGGAAACCAAAGCAACAAACTAAATGTGCATTTAAGTTTAAAAGTTCAATACACAACTTGTTTTGTATTCCTGGATTTTAAATTTCAGGCCATTGTAACTGATATATCTAGTTATGAACGATGTATTTCCAAATCCGTTGTAACCGCAGTGGTTGGTGATTCCTATTTTAGACTACAGCATAACAGCCTATCAATTTTTTTTTATTAATAATGTGTTCTGAAGGTTGATTTACAGCACAGCAAAAACTTTATAGCCTGTTACCAATAATTATAGCTTGTGCATTTCATGTTACCTTTTAGAATAGAGGGTTGGACAAACATGGATTATCTCTGTTAAAAAGCTTTTAAAGCCAGCTTTAGTTTTGTTTTATTAAATAGTCGACTTGTTCGTGTTTAGATTTTTTTTTGTGCTTATTTTTGTAATCTAGAAAAACTAGATATTGGGTACTACTTTACCAACACTGATCGCTTTAACGGAACACTCCCACCTGTCTCCAACTCCCATTTACTTGAATTAAGGTGTGATGTCTTACCTTCAGGGGTTAAAATTTTTTGAACAGTTTAAAGCTAAGGTTGCCCCCTAGGGTGTCTTGTCCTCTCTGCCTCCTCTTTGGGCTGCCATTTATTCCAGGACGTTTTACCATGGCGGGTGATGATATTCTGACCGCAACAGAGGAGGCAGAGCTGTCAGGCGCTGGGGGACTAACTTCTGGGTTAAACCACTAAAAGAGGTTTAAACATGAAGGTGTGACGTAGGAAAGGTAATCCTTCCGCCATAACAACTTCATAGATATACAGTTTTATGGGATGGGAGTATGTCTTTCAATTGTTTGTAGCTGTATATGTGTGTTAGCCTTGCAATGTCATGGTTGTCTGCTGAAAATGCACTTTTACTACTGTACATGTGTATGTGTGTATTTAAATTATTTCCCCCCCAGATATAAATTCAAGAATTTTATGCAATGATTTTTTTTTTTCCTCCAAGAAGATTGAAAGAACTTTATCACATTGCTAACTAGTAGTTTCTAACTATTTACTCAGCTTAATCATACTTGGAAATGTGAAATGTTGAGCTGATCCTCCCAGTAAAGGAAGTTTGATCATGTTCACCTGTTAATGCTGTAAACTATTACTGAAAATATTACCATGGCAAGCAAAAGCCAAAACTACACATACTAAGAGACCCCACATGTGTTTTTAAATGATCAAGTCACTCTGAATTTTATTTTAATTTTTTTACAAATTGCGTACTCTTCCACCTCTCATTTTATGGAATTTTTTTTAAATACATCATTGGAATTGCAAATCTTTAAATTCTGATGTCCATTTAGCTACAGCAAACATGTTTTTATTGTCTACCTGGGTAGATAAGTGTATGTAATAACTTGCTAGCTATGCCCTTTAAAGATTAAAAAAAAAAATCACCACTTAATGTGTCAAAAGAAACTACTGACCATCTTTTCCCAATATTGACCCTGTGTGATTCTGACTTTCCCAATTATATGCTGCTAAATGTGATCCTTCTATCCGATATGCATTGTTGGAAATAAATTATTTTAGTACCAAGAACCATGCTATAGTACCTGTTTTGCAACAGATGTTTCAGCTACTGTTAATTAGGTTGATGGAGTTGTGCCCATGTGACTTACTAGTCGCATTTTACACACTCTAATTGTACTGCTTGTCTGCTTGCTTTTTAATTTTATTATAAATACCTCTTTGTTATAGGTGCATAGCCATGCACCACTTGTTTTAATGATGGCACTAATTGTGTTCTATATGTTTGTTCACAAATAATGTAGGAGTAATGGTTTTTGTACCTATTTAGCAGGTATCTGAATTTTGAATAATTTTCCCCCCAAATGTATGTATAGCTTTTTTATTTCCATTTGTTAACGCTGCCATGGTTTTTTCAGGAAAATCGAACATGGTTTCATACCTTAAAACTTAGTCACCCAGACCCCTTCTGCTATAGTCAACCAAACCCCTTCTGCTCATTGAAGTGGTCTAGTTGCAGTGTCCCTGTCCAACTTAGTACTGCAAAGTAAAACATTGCATAAGGTCTTGATGGTAAGGTATGTCTTTTTGATGATGATACCAAGATATGTAACAGGGTTGATGTTCCAGGAGGGGTAAGCCAAATGGCAAATGATTTAGGTAAAGTAGAAAAATGGTTAGAGTTGTGGCAACTGACATTTAATGTGAATAAGTGCAAGATAATGCATCTTGGACGTAGAAAACCTAAGGGCAGAGTACAGAATATTTGATAGAGTCCTAACCTCAACATATGAGGAAAGGGATTTAGGGGTGATTATTTCTGATGACTTAAAGGTAGGCAGACAATGTAACAGAGCAGCAGGAAATGCTAGCAGAATGCTTGGTTGTATAGGGAGAGGTATTAGCAGTAGAAAGAGGGAAGTACTCATGCCATTGTACAGAACACCGGTGAGAACTCACTTGGAGTATTGTACACAGTACTGGAGACCGTATCTTCAGAAGGATGATACCTTAGAGAGGGTTCAGAGAAGGGCTACTAAACTGGTTCATGGATTGCAGGATAAAGCTTTACAAGGGAAGGTTAAAGGAACTTAACATGTATAGCTTGGAGGAAAGACAAGACAGGCAGGATATAATAGAAACATTTAAATACATAAAGGGAGTCAGCACAGTAAAGGAGAAGACTATATTTATAAGAAGGAAAAACTACCACAACAAGAAGATATAGTCTTAAATTAGGGGGCAAAGGTTTAAAAATATCTGGAAGTATTTATCCTTGCTAATCATGGCAGCTTATGGGTAGCTCTGCCCCTAACCAGATCAGGACAGGATTAACTAATAAAAAAAGCAAGAGAGAAAGAGACTGGAGGCATAAAAGGTCCCTCCTCCTTCCATACCTCAGTCTTTTTTTCTTGTCCTTAACCAGACAGACAGGTTGAAATTTTATTTAGCAATTTTCTTTTTTTTTGGCCACCTTCCCATGTGTACAATGGGTCTCCCACGCACAGTTCAGCCTCTCTGTGCCTGAAGGACCCAGTAAACCGCATGCATGAGCATGACTAACTAGGTCAGATTAAAAATAAGTAATTTGAATCTGTTTATAATCCATATATCATGCTGCGGTTTATGGCTCCATTTGATAAAATTGGAAGCCTTGTATATTCCCCCTACAGAACCTAGAGGCAATGGAAGATAGACCTTTCCCTTCTTCATTCTGGAGTTTTTGTTTTTTTTCTTCTCAATTCGTGTACTCACGTGTTCGGTAGAATCCTTTGTTTGGGAGTTTGTTCATGTTCCTGTGGTAAGCCTAGCATATGGTAAGTGATTCCCTGTTCGTTTGTTTCATTTCGTTAATTTTTTTTCTTCCATTCGAATGCTATGTCGTTAGTTTCCTTTCTAAGGGATTCTCCAGGCTAACTTCTGTTAGTTTATACCACAGTTCTTATATTTGGCGCAAACTGGTCTAAACAAAAGGCGCAAACGGCTCAGTGTTCTTTCGAACGATCTGCGCATGTGCAAACATCCTCACTTAAAGAGACAGTCCTATCTGTTACTTCTGACTTCAGAAAAAACAAAATTTATTTGTCCTTCCTTCTGGCCTTCGTAAGGGAGAAGCGGTCTCTTCCTCTACCTTACGGAGATGGATAGCTTCTGTCATAGCAGACTCCCACCTGCGGAACAAGCTGACTCCTCCAGCCAAGATCAGAGCTCACTCCACCAGATCCCTGGCTACATTTTGGGATAATTGGGCAGAGGTTCCTCCGGATGGCAGCTACTTGGTCCACTCCTACTACCTTTATTAAGCACTACAAACTGGACTTTCATTCTACGACTACTTCTTTTGGGAGAGGTGTCTTATCAGCTGTTTAAGTGAATAAATACATTTGGAATTCCTTTTGCAATCTGAGTTTTTGTGTCTATTCATATTGAATCGTGTTTCCCCTCCATTTCATGGGTTTTTTGCTTGGGTATTACCCATAAGTGATGCTGCCATGATTAGCCTGGAATACAGAAAATTAAATTACATGCTTATCTAGTAATTTTCTTTTCCTGGCTATTTATCATGGCAGCATCAGTCACCCTCCCTTCTTTTGGACTTGACTGAGGTATGTAAGGAGGAGGGACCTTTTATGCCTCCAGTCTCTTTCTCTTTTTTTATTAGTTAATCCTGTCCTGATCTGGTTAGGGGCGGAGCTTACCATAAGTGATGCTGCCATGATAAATAGCCAGGAAATGAAAGTAAGTATGTAATAAAATTTTCTGTATTACTGAGAGGGTAGTGGAGGCATGGAATAGCCTTCCAGCTGTAGTGGTAGATGTTAACACAGTAAGGAGTTTAAGCATGCGTGGGATAGGCATAAGGCTATCCTAACTATAAGATAAGGCTAGGGACTAATTAAAGTATTTAGAAAATTGGGCAGACTAGATGGGCTGAATGGTTCTTATCTGCTGTCACATTCTATGTTTCTATTGCAGTTTTTAAGAAACTGTGATAATTACATTGCAGAACTAAAGACTGCCTCTGAGGCTGTCAGGCAACCAGAGGTAGTTTAGCAAACAGGCAGTCTAACTGTCGCTAGACATCCAGCGTCCGTTACAGTTGTAATCAAAATTATTAAATATAAGGTTTATTGTCAAAATTCCGACTTTCAGCTGTTTGCAATGAACAAATCAAACAAAAGCAGTTGAAATGGCTCAACACAATGAATGCTTTAAGTGGTTTCCCCAAATTCAACTGAAAATGCAACTTCTAATGAATTCTCCATTATTCAACCCCTTAATGGCAATCAACTTTCCTGATCAATCATGGCAGCATTTACTCATGGGTTAGCTCCTCCCCTTACAGCAGAAAGGACAGGAAATAGAACTTTGAAACTGGTATAAATAGATCCTCCCCCTTCCCATCAGGCAGTCTTTTTTCCTGTCCTTCACAGCAGTTTGGAAGGAGTCTGCTTATGCAGGCCTAGATTTTCTTTTATGCTCACCAGGCAATATTTTTGTAGCCTTGCCGGGGTTCAGCCTCTAAGCCCTGAAGACCCAGCAAAGCACTATTGTAAGGTAGCCAGCCTGGGTACCCCCTTTAGTGACCGGGGGTCGGACCCAACCTCTCCCTCTGGGGATGAAAATGGTCCACTGCATGCCAGGGTTCAGCCTCTTATCCCTGAAGACCCAGCAACAGGCCAGCTTGGGTACCCCCTCAGGGGATGTATGTGATATACTGCCTACATGAAGCCAGGCCAGGGTTCAGCCTCTTACCCCTGAAGACCCAGCAAACAGCATACCGGTAAAAGTTGCCAGCCTGGGTATCTACTTCAGCAACCTGGGGTCTGACCTATCTCTCTCTCTGACGTGATGACCGTAGTCCAATGCATACATGAGGCCCAGCCAAGTCTAAGCCTTTATCCCTGAAGGCCTACATGTAGCCAGGCCAGGGTTCAGCCTCTTACCCCGGAAGACCCAGCAAACAGCATACCGGTAAAAGTTGCCAGCCTGGGTACCTACTTCAGCAACCTGGGGTCTGATATCTCCTCCTCCCTTCTCCTCCTCAAACCTTCTCCCCAAACCTTCTCCCACTGGTGATGATGAACGGCATATGGGGTACAGATAGAAGCCTATAGTTTAGGCTGTCAGTTGTTCAAATCCCCATTTTGCCGCTGAAACACAGGCCTACAGCTGTTCAGGTAAGTGTATTAGCAATTTAGATTAAAACTAGTATAGGCACCTGGGTCTCTGTTCTTTCGGTCCCTCCCAGCTGCTTACATTAGGCTTCCTTCTAACAAATAGGTCACATTTAGGAGGTTTGTGTGGTGAGCATTTAGGTAAGTTTATACATGAAAGAATGTTTGGTGCAAAAGAGTGCTGATAATGCAATGAGACACTGTGAAAAAGAGTGCTAATAATGGATATCCTGGCTGTATAAAGTCTGCTGGAATTCCACAGTCCTGAAGACAGAGAAATATCCAAGGTAAGAGAACCTTCTTGGATAACTGATTGAAGTACACACATGTATATGACAGGTTTTAAAACCTAACTCTAAGTCCATACACACACTTGTTTCTATCAAGGTATGTGGCATTGATTGCTGTTATCTGTGCATTATCACAAATAAGCAGGCTTTTGCAGACAGTGGACATGTATCCACTTTATTGTGTATGTATGAGTTGATCTGAAGACCCTGCCTCAGTTTGTGTTCTTTATATGCTCTGTGTTGCTGTGAGAACACAGCCTCAGTATATGTACTCTGCATGCTTTATTTGTAAGGTGGAGACTGCTTCAGTGTATCTGTTCTCTATATGATTGATGTATTAGTGGAAACACAATATAGGTGAATGATATAGGACACATCCGCTATATGAATCCAATCTAATACAAGTTCTATGTGTGGGTTGTTAGTCACAACCTCAGTATATGTGAGTGGTATAATATATGAAGTTCTGTTAAAACACAGCCTCAATTTATCTCACTCATATAAACTTAATATGTGTGCAGGCATAGTGTCACCCTATAGCAGATGCAGGCTATGTATGATTACTATTTGAACAGACTCCGTATATGTGACGATATATCTGTGCATAAGGTGCTGTTAGAAACATCCACAATGTATGTGATTCCTATATTCTGTATGCAGGTTGGTAGTATTAGATAACCCCAATTTATACACGGCATTGATAGATTTAATAATACAAATTGTCTAAGGTCTGGGTTTTGCGCTGAAATGTAACACTGCCCAATTCTAGCAAAAACAAATGCACTGTTACACTGGGTAAGTAATTATTGCCTACTGTGGATTTTCTATTTCAGTTTTTTTAAATGAAGTAGATAAGGAAACATACTGCTTTTGGCTTTGTATTAGATTCCTTCTCTCACAGGTGTTTCAGGATAAGCAATTAACACAAATAATACCACTTCAGTTAGATTGCAGGTGTTACCGAACCTGTCTGAGTGCCTCTCTCAGGAGAGAAGGAGATCTGTTTTCCCAAAATGGAGCATGGTAATGTTTAACAGAATCAATGTGTTTTAATGTGCAAGTAGATCTTGCTGGTTGCAGGAGCACAAATTTGGCTATTTATTGATCTCCTAAGTAGGTAACTCTGAAGCCATTACCTGACTGTTTTCTGTGGTCTATTTCTTTTATTTCTAAAATCTAATTTAACTGATTTAAAAGCTGTTAATATTGGCCTTTTCTTTCACCTGGTCGTAACTAGTATCATTTTATTTTTCTGCAAGCTTCTACTCTGAAAAATTCACTGCTCCTGGTCTGGTTTATACTTTTTATTCAGTATTCTCTTTTATCCCTTGGGGACCTGAAAGTTTGGCAGTCCCTTAAGTATATGTCAAGGGTGGCATGCTTTTGGTTCTTAAGGAGTTAATGTTAAGAATTTTCTCACATATTCCCCTGTTGTGAAGGGGAACATTATAATTTCCTTTCTGCAATAAAAGGTATTCTTTTAGGCTCATATGCTCCAGGTAACTTTGATACTGTGTATTGCAAGTATTTTAATTGACATTGGAAGGTCTTTCCAGTCCCCAGACCATTCCACCATGTTTACTATCTCAGGTAAAATTCACCTGCTACCAGAACAATAGAGGAAATCCCTGAACCCCCTACCTGTTAAATAGCATTCTGTGACTGTTCTCATCAAACAGTGTATGATTGTTTCGGTATAGTTTCTGGAAGTTAAGCCTTTGTTTTGATGATGCCATCCATTTGGTTTTAAATTTATATCAGAGAAGGACATTATCCTTTCTTGTTGACATAATAGATCTATAATTTCTAGACCGTGTCTGGGTTTCATAGAGGTTCTCTAGCCTTGTTCCTTCTCTAGACTAGGCTATCAGGGCCTTAATGCCTATTTGGCTCTATATTTCTCCAGGATATTTCAGACATTTGAATGCCAGGAGGTTGCTGACCTTGCGGCCTCTAGGGTAAATTAACTTGTCTGAGCAGCTTTTATGACCATATCCTATTACTTGTTTGGCTTTTTTGAAGTCTTCTAAAGTTTATACAGCTCAATAATGGTTTAATAGCTATTAGCTATTTTTGAACTCTGTCCCTCCCTCGATATATACTGATTGGGTATTCCCCATGAGTAAATGCTGCCATGATTGATCAGGAATAAGGAAAATTGTTCCATACTTACCGTAATTTTCTTTTCATGATCATTTTTCATGGCAGCATTACATTCCCACCCATATACTAGAAGAGTTGTGAAGCTAGTTACAAAGACTGCCTATATCCTTTGGTGGGGATTATACCGTCCAGGCGCTATACAGCAGAGCTCTCAGTAGCTCTGAAAAGTGTGAGTTAGCCTTTCTACTGGTTTTCTGTATATTTTATTTATAAGCTTTTTAATTGACATATTGCACTATTATTGTTTTCTATTTATATTTTCTCAAGGTTTATATTCACCACCATATTATTGAAATACCCTGTATGTATGTATATATCATTTTTTCAATTTAACTATTTCCAGTTCCTCTGTGGCGCGGTGTACCAATCTGTTTTTGCACTTTTTGGTTAAAGCAGTGTGACAGATCCATCTGTATAGACTGGGATTGATGGTTCGTCTGTTTTGCCTTTTTCGTGGAATTACTCATTCGTATGCCTCTGTTCGTATAACTGACGTTATTTGCCAAAGAAAACTACCGAACGGACGGCCACCCAGAAGAGAAGTGTTCTGATGGTTAACCTCTTGATCCCAATTAGAACGTTGTGGTTATCTGCAGACACTTCTCAATTAAAACCGAATGCAGGGTGGTCGTCGTTCGTATGTCGACCACAAGGCGGCGGCCATTTTAAACAAGCGAAAGACCAGCGGTGTTCGGCCCAGATTCTATGGAACTGAAAACGGACACTTTTTCCGCCGAACACCGTTGAAGCCACCGACCTCCCTTCTCAATCGACAGAAGTACACGAACACCGGCCATTCGGGAGTTTAAAACGCACGAATGGACTTAACCCAGATAGCCTTCCCATGGAGTCAATCGCATACCGAAAGACTGTAATAGACTTTGACTCCATAGCGATTGAACTATGCGTATGGGATCTGAGCGCTATTTGCCAATAATATGCACTCAGATCCAGGCTATCTGGGGATATGTGATACGAATGAGAAATGTTCGACAATTATAAAGTTATGTATTTTTGTGTTTTTTGTGTTGTATTTAAAATGGCGATTTGCCTCTGTCCTGGGAGATAATTGAATTACTTCTCAATTATCTCCAGAGCAGAGGTTGAGGAAACCATAATGCATGCTGGGAATATTATGTGCCTGTATGTCCTGAAATGCCGTATGTCCATCTGCCATTACAGTCTCCCATTTGGTCCCCTAGGGGAGTGTCCACCAAGTGGGAGACCTGCATAAATACGGGCGGGTAGCCCACAGTAAATCCAGTTCATGTTTTACCCTCAATGCGGAGCTTGGTCTCGTTATTGGGGGGATTTATTACCGACGAATAGAGACTGCCGGATGGGATTATTAGCCGCTTGGGAGATATATGCGTTCGGCTACTAGCGGTTCGTATGATTGTAATTGATACGAATGAAGCCTGCGTTATTGCGAGAGGGGAGGATTCACTAAACGGCGGTTTGTACATTTGATGCCGAGGGTACCGTTACAAGCAGGTATTGGGAAGTCCTGCTGGTTCACTGCTGCCGTATATTTAGCTATTTTAGAGAGCGCCTACACCTGTTTTTTCTAGTTACAAAGACTGCCTGATGGGAAGGGGGAGGATCTACTTACCGTAATTTTCTTTTCCTGATCATTATTCATGGCAGCATTACGTTCCCACCCATATACTATAAGAGTTATGAAGCTAGATAACAAAGACTGCCTGATGGGAAGGGGGAGGATCTATTTATACCAGTTTCAGAGTTCTATTTCCTGTCCTTTCTGCTAGCCCATGAGTAAATGCTGCCATGAATAATGATCAGGAAAAGAGACTTACGGTAAGTATGAAACAATTTTCCTTATTAGTTCTTAGTAGAACATCCTTCTGGTGTTATGACCTACTGCAAATGATATGCATAACTAGACACCAGCTTTTAGCAGCATTCCTGAGGAATTTTAGACCATTGCTCATGAACAATAGCCTCTAGTTCAGTAATATACTTGGGTTTGAGTGCAGCGTCCACCTTTTTAAAATTCCACCAGAGATTTTCTATGGGGTTCAAATCCGATAACTGTGCTGACCACTGTAGAATTTTCCAAGACTACTTCTGCAACCAAGATTGAGGTATGCTTGGGATCATTGTCTTGTTGGAAGGTCCAATGACACCCAAGATTTAGCTTCCTCACAGACAGCATGATGTTTTCTTCTAGGATTTACTGATACTTGAATGAATCCATCTTGCCTTCCACATGCTGCAGGTTTCGAATGCCAAAGGATGCAAAGCAGCCCCAGAGCATCACCGAGCCACAATCGATCCATTGGACTAAAGTTCCAGTTTTTTTTTTTTTTTTTTTAAATCTCTCAATAGAACAGAATCCCAAAACTTCTGTGGCTTATTTGTATTATTTTGAGCATATTGGAGTCAAATGTTCTTGTGCTTTTGGGTCAATAGTGGTGTACGTCTTGGAGCTCTGGAATGGAAACCTTCTGCATTTAGTACGTGCCTTACTGTGTTCACTGAAATCTCTGTTGCCACCATTTAAGGGTTTTTCACAACTTGCCTTACCAGTAATCTGGTTGCAGCCATTGATAGCTTCCTTTTTATGCCCTGTCCAGGCAGTGTAACTACTGTTCTTTCAACCTTGAACTTGCAAGCTATGTTTCCAATGGTGTCTCTTGGAACATTCAATGCCTTCGCTATCTTTTTGCAGGTTTATCCTATGCATAGTCCTCCTGGTTGACTTTAAAGGGAGGACTACAATATAATCTTTCATTAATTTATTTTTTTATTTTAAGCCTTACAATAGCCATGCTGTGAGCCTAAATACACTGCTCAAAAAAAATAAAGGGAACACTTAAACAACACAATGTAACTCCAAGTCAATCACACTTCTGTGAAATCAAACTGTCCACTTAGGAAGCAACACTGAGTGACAATCAATTTCACATGCTGTTATGCAAATGGAATAGACAACAGGTGGAAATTATAGGCAATTAGCAAGACACCCCCAATAAAGGAGTGGTTCTGCAGGTGGTGACCACAGACCACTTCTCAGTTCCTATGCTTACTGGCTGATGTTTTGGTCACTTTTGAATGCTGGCGGTGCTTTCACTTTAGTGGTAGCATGAGACGGAGTCTACAACCCACACAAGTGGCTCAGGTAGTGCAGCTCATCCAGGATGGCACATCAATGCGAGCTGTGGCAAGAAGGTTTGCCGTGTCTGTCAGCGTAGTGGCCAGAGCATGGAGGCGCTACCAGGAGACAGGCCAGTACATCAGGAGACGTGTAGGAGGGCAACAACCCAGCAGCAGGACCTCTACCTCCGCCTTTGTGCAAGGAGGAGCACTTACGGGTGTAACCTCCAGCAGGCCACAAATGTGCATGTGTCTGCTCAAACGGTCAGAAACAGACTCCATGAGGGTGGTATGAGGGCACGACGTCTACAGGTAGGGGTTGTGCTTACAGCCCAACACCGTGTAGGACGTTTGGCATTTGCCAGAGAACACCAAGATTGGCAAATTCGCCAGTGGCGCCCTGTGCTCTTCACAGATGAAAGCTGGTTCACACTGAGCGCATGTGACAGACGTGACAGAGTCTGGAGATGCTGTGGAGAACGTTCTGCTGCCTGCAACATCCTCTAGCATGACCGGTTTGGCAGTGGGTCAGTAATGGTGTGGGGTGGCATTTCTTTAGGGGGCTGCACAGCCCTCCATGTGCTCGCCAGAGGTAGCCTGACTTCCATTAGGTACCGAGCTGAGATCCTCAGACCCCTTGTGTGACAAAATGCAGGTGCGGTTGGCCGGTGGTTCTTCCTAATGCAAGACAATGCTAGACCTCATGTGGCTGGAGTATATCAGCAGTTCCTGCAAGACGAAGGCATTGATGCTATGGACTGGCCCGCCCGTTCCCCAGACCTGAATCCAATTGAGCACATCTGGGACATCATGTCTCGTTCCATCCACCAATGTCACATTGCACCACAGACTGTCTAGGAATTGGCAGATGCTTTAGTCCAGGCCTGGGAGGAGATCCCTCAGGAGACCATCCGCCACCTCATCAGGAGCATGTACAGGTGTTGTAGGGAGTTCATACAAGCACGTGGAGGCCACACACACTACTTTGGCTTGTTTTAAGGACATTACGTCAAAGTTGGATCAGCCTGTAGTGTGTTTTTCCACTTTAATTTTGAGTGTGACTCCAAATCCAGACCTCCATGGGTTGAAAAATGTGATTTCAATTTTTTTATTTTTGTGTGATTTTGTTGTCAGCACATTCAACTATGTAAAGAACAAAGTATTTCAGAAGAATATTTAATTCATTCAGATCTAGGATGTTATTTTTGTGTTCCCTTTATTTTTTTGAGCAGTGTATATTTGGTGTGTTTCTGCTGAGACATTCTTGTTTTCCAGTGTATTCTCTGTTATAGGAGTTTCCCATGACCTTCATTTTGCCTACTTAAACAGTTCTAAAAACCAACAGGGGTTTGGTCAACATAGAATAATGACCATCATTGAGGCCTAATGTGTGCAAATCGTTTGTAGTTTCTTTGGAATTATTGCTACCGGTGGAAATATGTTCGCAAGCTGCAAGTTTTAATTGACTAAAAATAAGGACATTCCTGTCTTTAAATGGATGCAAAACTTTGTAGTTTTTCTGCCCAGCACAAGATCTGAGCACATAATTCTGCCAATGCTTGAATTATTGTACCACTTTGTTAATTTACATAAATTACTGTATTTAGGTTGTCTGATGTATATTTGAACTGGCTTTCATTTTATGTAATCTTTGCTTGCAAGGCTTCCCATACGATCTTCAATTCTCTGAAGTTTGAAGTGCGAGGACCTTCTTTTGGAAAGCAGAAGCTTTGACTCAAGATGGTGTTTAGATCCTCTGCTCATCCTATGCTTGATGCACGTGTAGTAATTCTTCTCCAAGGCAGTTGCTTAAAAGAATTCTGATTCTATCCACCAATGTAATCTTTTAAGGTTATTTATGATATCCTGATATTCTGATTTGCGAATCTTAGTCCTCTTGTTCCCAGTTCTAGGATTGTAAGATTTGCCACTGCATTGGTCTTCTATTTTCTTGAGCGCTGGAATAGAGGATATAAGTAGATCTAACAAGCACATCTCTGATGAAGCAGTCTGGATGTCTCTAATTTTTTTTTGATCGCTTCGCTTTCTATATTTTTATTCTTTGAACGGGGAGAATTAATTATATTTTTATTTTGAGAGTCCACTTGTAGGCGTAGAAACAAAACCCTTGTGGACGGAAGTGGATTTGATATTTCACAATTTTTTATAACTCATCTGTAACCTACATAAATAAATAATAAGGAAATGCAATATATTAAAAATAAGTATTTTATGTGTTAAATGTGTTTAGATGGAGGGGTGCATTTTCACAAACTTAAATAATTTCAAAACGTGGAGGAAGGGGGATCGGGGCTGAGGGACATGGTTACCCTGTTCTGTTAAAGGCATTGGCTGTTAAAGCCATTTAATATCTGGAGCCATAAAAAATAATAGTTTAGGCTTTAGTCTGTAACAAAGCTGTAGTCCATAATTATATATAATGGAATGCCAAATTGTTTAGTATGGACTGACTGTATGGAATATGTGTTTACCTATAAAACCATAACAGTTCTCTTTTCAAGTTTTTAGGACATTCCAGGGTCTGTATGTGGTGTAAGTGCTTACTTGCGCAACACTTAGGTAATATGGAATTATGAGTGTGTTTTTGTACGTACACTTGTCTACAGTAGTGATGTTCTTATGGATTGCTGGATAATCAGTGGTAAGGGCAAGTTGAAAATGTTTATGGATATAAAACCAAAACCTGGGACAAGTTGTCTTGACATTTTCTACATCTTCCCAGTCCTATCAGCCAACTAGAGCATGCTACTATTGAATTCAGACCAGTTAGTAGAATCATCTAAGATTCTACTAGATCAGGGGTTCTCAACCCAGTCCTCAAGGACCCCCTACCAGTCCAGGATTTAGGGATTACCTGGGTGTGTCTAAGGTGTTTGGAAAAAAGAAAAAAAAAATCCCAACACACCCAGGTAATCCCTAAATCCTGGACAGATAAGGGGTCCTTGAGGACTGGGTTGAGAACCCCTGTACTAGATCATCTTGTTTTTTGGGAAATATATTGGTCTTAATATCATGCTACATTAAGGCACCTGTAGAGGTGTATGATTTTCTAAGATGTTTTCGGTAAAACAGGGAGAGTTTAACCCCTTAAGGACACATGACATGTGTGACATGTCATGATTCCCTTTTATTCCAGAAGTTTGGTCCTTAAGGGGTTAAAGGTAGAGAAATGGGGGGCGTGGCTTGGACGCCGATCGGAATGGCGGCGTGAACCAGGTGCTCCCTGTAGGCTCTGCACTATTACCCGCCTCACTAGCCCCACACACCGCAAAATGGGCAAAACAAACCGGCAACAGCAAGCGGCAGCGACCGCCAACACTCCGAGGGGGTCCCAGACACCGGGCATGAGACAATACCTCCTGACCCAGGCGGATCACGTTTCTCAGGCCTCTAGTGACTCGGAGGCCTCGGGCCTGGCCCGCCCGGCCTCACCATGCAGCAGACACCACGAACAGGTACAACTTACACCTGACCTACCCCCATCCTAGCTGGACTCGGCATCCCTACTGAGCAACCTACCCACGAAAGCTGACCTTAAAGAGGCAAATCCCGCCCTTCACAAGTCCATAACAGGGGAACTCCATGCCTTAAGGGAGGACATGCAGGGGCTACACCATAAGCTAGCATTGTTGGAGGCAGACTGTGACCACGTGACATCAGCACAAAACGCCACCGCAAATGTAATACAGCGGCAGGCAATACAACTGCGCCAAATGGCCCTCCACATGGAAGACCTCGATAACAGAGGGAGGCGGCAGAATATCAGAATCCGGGGCCTGCCTGAGGAACTTGACCAGACAACCCCAATACGAGATTCCCTCACGGAAATCTTCAATTCCCTCCTACCGCGGCCGAACACGACGCCTATTGATTTTGTTAGGGCACACAGAGCCCTCAGACCCAGAGGCCCACCGGAGTCCCCCCCAAGGGACGTGATATGCTGTTTATTACACTTTCAAGTGAAGGAAGACATCCTGAAGAGCGATAGGGATAAAAAACAAATCCTTCATCATGGCGCGGAACTACAACTATATCCAGACCTATCTCCAGCGACCCTGGCGTACCGACGGGCCATGCGCCCTCTTACACGCACACTACAAGCCAACAAGATCAGGTATCATTGGAACTTCCCCACTGGTATACAAGTCACCACAAGCACCGGCTCCTTCACAGTGAAGAACGACGGCGATATGAGGGACATTGTCCGGGAACTACAATTACCACACATACAGCTGACCTGGCCGGATCCGATGGCCTTCTACGAGTTTTCACCCGAAGCACACCGCCAGTCGCAACAGCCCACCAGACCACGAAGAACTAGACAGCAGACCACGCGCCCCACGGGCGCCAACATATAAGGGACTGCGCACCGCCTACCTTCCATCCCGGGGCCTCACCTCGACCCACCCATGGACCAGCCACACACTTCCATACCCGACTACCAGAACCAGAGACTATGGACACACTGCGCTGACCCCTCCGAACCGCAAGTATACCTCCCACGGGAGACACACCCAGCCACATAAGCAGAGAAGCACTGGGGGGCGCACCTAGGACACAGGAGCCCGGCCATGCGGAGCCCTGTGACCTATTGGACTAATTTGAACTTCCTATGATAACGCAAGGTGCAAGGGAAACGAGTAACATCTGGTTCACATGTTTAGGGGAATAGGGGAGTGTCCGCCCCCCCGGCTGGGTCCGGCCGCCGCTGTTCGCCCGCCCTGTGATGAACCTTGGGGAGCAGGTGGGGAATGGCGCCGGCGGGGCACACCCGGGGTGGAGACACAGAGGTTGCGGAAGGGAGGGGGGGGGGAACGGTCGCCACTAGGCCACACAACCGCAAGGGCACCCGCCCACAGGAGACACGTCCAGCCACACCAGCAGAGAAGCACCCGGGGGCGCTCCTGGGTCGCAGGGGCCCGTCCGTGCGGTGCCCTGTGACCTACTGGACTAATTTGAATTTCCTATGATAATGCAAGGTGCAAGGGAGACGAGTAACATCTGGTCCACACACTTGGGTCTAGGGGATCAGGGGGGCGCCACCCCCCCGGCTGGGCCCGGCCGCCGCCGTTCGCCTACCCTGTGATGAACCTCGGGGAGCAGGCGGGGGATGGCGCCGGCGGGGTACAGCCGGGGTGGGGACGCTGATAAGTTACGGAGGGGAAGGGGGGAAAGGTCGCAACCAGGCCACACAATCCAGACACCCATAGATCAGCCACACGCTCTAGACATGGGACAAGGAGGGCACGGACACGTAAGCGACCACCCGAGTGAGCACACCCAGATTGACTAAAACGAACCCAGAGACACGAGTGCCCTCGCCTTGACCCCGGGTAAGGGTGCCCCCAACCCCAGAGAGTGAAGGGACGGGGTACAGGTTTGCTCACGCTAGATAAGCCACCCAACGGAGGGAGAGGGGAGCGGGGGGGGAGGAGGTGGATGTGCAGCCCTGCACCATGATAGAAATGTCAGCTACTTGTTATCACCTGTTGTGAATTTAATCTAAATGTTATTGTTACGGTTCATGCCTTACTACAGTACCTTGAACAGACATGTTGTGCAACACGCACGCCGGCTCTCGAGCCAACACACCCCGAGGCGGGGAAGACCATCACATTCCATTGAGGTAGCATCCGGGAGCCTAAAAGGGGCGACATGGGACCTGACTTGCCGCACGGAAGACCGACACCGATACACCCTACCACTGCCCAGTAGGAGAGACGTCACTCAGACGGTGAGTCACTCACGGGAGCCACTGGTGGCGCCGTGGATTGAGACTCCCCGACGTCTACACCTAACGGTCCCGAGACCGGAACACATCCACTGGAGATCACAGGGAATCTCCACGAATCCCAAGATACCTTACCCCTCTCCCTACCCCACCTTAAAACCTGACACCTTGTCCTCAAACTGACCACGACGAACAGGCCATACCGGGTATACACACACAGCAGAGACTTGGACAACGACACCCATGCAGCACCAACCAACAGCCGACTGACCAGACGACATGACACTGACTCCCGCCCCGCTGCATATTCTCACGATCAATGCCAAAGGCCTGAACAAACCAGAGAAGAGATCAGGAGCACTGAGAGACTTTCATAAACAAAGGGCCTCGATAGTCATGTTGCAGGAAACAAACTTTCAGAAAGGGGCCAGACCCAAACTAACAAACCAACACTACACACAAGGATACTACAGTGACTACCACGGAGGGAAAGCTAGGGGGACAGCAATACTTTTCCATAAGAGGGTGCCGTTCCAGGAGGGGGGCTGCTTGTCGGACGATGAAGGCAGGTACCTATTCCTCAAGGGGGAAATAGCAGGCCGTCAGTACACGTTCGCAACCATATACGCCCCAAACACACGACACTACCGCTTCCTCAAACAAACACTCCACAAGCTCCAGGCGTTCAAAGAAGGGACTCTCATACTGGGTGGTGACTTTAATGTCGCATTAGAACCGTCATGGGACACGTTAATGGGCACCTCACATATCCCCAACCAACAACTGCAAGGCATCAAATCCCTACTCCGGGACCACCGACTGGTCGACTGCTGGAGGGCCCACCACCCAGACGCTCGAGACTTCACTTTCTATTCCCATCCGCACAACTCATACTCCCGCATCGACCACATATACACCTCACACTACGACCTTTCATTGGTAACTGACGTCGGGATCGGAACAGCCACATGGTCGGACCATGCCCCTGTCTCCCTCAAAATAAAGTCACCACTATTCCGCCCCACATCCCCGAAATGGAGACTCAATGAATACCTACTCTCCCACCCGGGAGTCACGACCCTCATAGGCGATAAAATCAGAGAGTACCTTGCCACCAATACGACGGAGCAGACATCGCCGACGATACGCTGGGAGGCACACAAAAGTGTGATAAGAGGTCACTATATCCAACAGGGGGCAATACTAAAAAAACAAACCGAAGCCCGACTGACCGTCCTACTAGACAATATACACAAAACGGACGAACAAAACAAACGCGACCCAGACCACACACACCAGACCCGACTCCTACAACTGAGGAGGGACCTAGCGACCATACTGCATTCCAAACACCACAGGGAGGCACTTAGAAACAAGGCCTTCTTTACCCTACATGGGAACAAGAGTGGCAAGCTCCTCGCTACGATGCTGAGGAAACAGAGACAGCACACATACATCGACAAGATCAGAGACAAACAGGGGACCCTACACCGTCTCCCGAATGATATCATGAGAGCGATCCGTACATACTACACTGAACTATACGAACTCCCACAACTGACAACCGAACTGGCTAAGGCACACCTTCGCCACTCGATTCAGGACTACCTGACTAAATACCCGATACCGTCCCTAGACGCAGAAGTCGCTGACCTGGTTGACGAACCCATAACTGTTGAGGAATTAGCGCGAGCGGTCAAACTCACTAAACCGGGCAAAAGCCCGGGGCCGGATGGCTTACCGGTAAAATACTATAAGACTTACGCCGAGGATCTTTACCCACCCATGGTGGAAGCATTTAACGCGATACGAGAAGGAAACCACATCCCTACTCAAACCCTAACAGCCCATATCACCATCATACCCAAGGACGGCAAAGACAGAGAGCATTGCGGGAATTACAGACCAATATCGCTAATCAATTGCGACATTAAGCTACTGGCCAAGATCCTGGCGGTGCGCCTCACCAAACATATCCCATCTCTGGTCCACCCTGACCAGGTGGGATTTGTGACAGGACGCGAGGCACGCGACAATACCATCAGAGCGCTCACACTTATGCACGGAGGTGGGGGCACGGACGGAGGCCTCCTCTTGTTGTCCATGGACGCAGAGAAGGCCTTCGATAGAGTGAGCTGGGACTACCTCTTCGAGACGCTATCCCACATAGGGCTGGGTCCCCACACCCGACGCTGGATAGAGGTGCTATACCGAGCACCGACGGCCCAGGTGTTAGTTAACGGGGCGCTGACTGAGACCTTTACCATACACAACGGCACGCGACAGGGGTGCCCCCTCTCCCCGCTTCTGTTCGCTCTCGTCCTGGAACCATTCCTCACACATTCGCCACAACCCAAACATAACGGGCCGGACGACAGGCCAAGTACACCACAAGGTAGCGGCGTACGCGGATGACCTACTTTTTGTGGTGACCAACCCCAAGATCACCCTTCCAAACATCCAGAAAGACCTGCGGACATTTGGCGATATATCTAACCTTAAAATTAATTACGTCAAATCCTACATCCTTAATGTTAGCATCCCCGCCACACGCGCAGACCCTCTACGACGCAGTTTCCCCTTCCAATGGGCTGAACATAAAATTAGGTACTTAGGTATATGGCTGACCAGGCAGAGCAGAGACCTGTATAGGGACAATTTCGCCACTATACTGCACACGTTCCAACGAGACTTGAGGGAATGGTCCTACCCGCACATATCGTGGCTCGGGAGAGTGCAGGTCATAAAAATGAACTTTCTTCCGCGCCTCTTATACCTCTTCCAGGCCATCCCCATTGTCATACCGGGCCCCTTCTTTAACACACTCAGAAAAAAAATGATAAAATACGTATGGAACGGGGGAGGCCCAGAGTGAAATTTTCTACATTGACACGTCCTAAAGACAAAGGGGGACTAGCCCTCCCAGACTTCCACCAGTACTACGTGGCCACGCACCTACAGAGAATCATGGAGTGGTCTAAAGACGGAGTACACAAACTATGGAAGACGGTGGAAGAGGCAGAAGCAGGCAGACCGATCTCGGGCCTTCCCTGGGGCCGAGACACAACCGATAGAGGTGACATGTCCATATACACGAGACACACCATGAGAGTTTGGAGGAGGGCCGCGAAGAAGGGGAATATGGCACCGTACCCCTCCCCCCTCCTGCCCCTTACACACAACGAGGACTTCCCGCCGGGTTTGGACCCAGGAGTCCTCAAACACATCCTCCCGGACAGATCCCCACGCCTACACCACCTCCTCCAAGGAGGGAAATGTAAAACACTAACGGACTTGATGGGAGAGACGCCCCCGACCTTTATGCACCGCTTCCGACATGCCAAACTGACCAATTACGTCCACTCCCTGCCGCAGGGACCAGCACTGGCCAGAGACCAGACCACGATAGAAGTGGTCAGCTCATACCCAGACCCGCTCCCACACGGAGTGTCCTTCTTATATTCCATGCTATTCCATGCCTGCGAGCCTAACTTGTTACCTTTTATAATAACATATAATGGAGACCTGCGCGTCTCATCGAACATTAATATATGCAAAATGAATAAAAATCATATTCACAAAAAAAAAAGGTAGAGAAATGACTGCCATTTGGATACTTCCAATGTCAAATTTAAGCAACCCTGTATTTTAAAAGCAATGTAACAATCCAAAATACTGCAATGAGCATTTTGAAGGGTTGAAGTCAAACTGGCAAAGGGATAGGAATACAAATTGATTTGTAACAAATTAGCATATACTGTTAATATATCAGATTATTTAGCAGTGGGATAAGAAAAAAAATAGGCAAATAGCATGGGTTTCCAATGTGTAAAGCTATAGCGGGAAAGTACTGCTACCTAAATATTTCCTTTCCTAGATTTAAATCATGTCTAAGAGAGAGTTTGTTTCTCCCTCTTGGGAATGTTATGAGGACATCCCTAACAAATTACTGTGTCATTCTAAATAGAAAGGAAAAAAAATTTAGCAGCTGTGGACATTCATGAACCTACAGCTACACTATGTACTTTTGAATAAGCATATAATGGCTTCTGGAAGAGGCTCCAAATATAAGTTGAAGATAAAAAGATGACACAGGGTTAGGGGCACCCATCGATATCATACACCCTTTCTGATTGGGAATGCCAGGACCAGATTTTCCATTAGGAAAAGTAGGCACTTCCCTTCAGGCCTTTTCCCCCCCAAACTTAAAATGTGCCTTTTTTCCAGCTCAAGTGGGCTAATCAGGAAAGATAATTACCAGGGGACTTGGTCAGTGTTCTCAGTAGTCCAGCCTCCTATGCTGGATAGCAGAGCTGCAAGAGACTGGACACTTCCCATCTGCCCACTAACAGCCTCTCACACAGGAAATGCATTGCAGGAGGAGCAGGGAAGCTCTGAGTGATGCACACTGTGTAAAAGCTCCTGCTGCTGTGCTATCAATCATAGGTGAGTGACTGGACTACAGACGACATGTCCTAAACACCCCTTTTCACTTAGCCTAAAGTTAACCGTTTCCTTCGTCCTATATTTAAGCAAAGCTTATCCCTGGAAAAAAACCTCAAACGTAATCCTAGATTTAACTCCTCTTAAAACCACATGTACCTCTATACAAAACTTAGCCCTAACATCCCCTATACCAGGGGTCCTCAAACTCCGCCCCCCCCAGATGTTGCTGAACTATAACTCCCATGATTCTCTGGCTATCTATGTAATTCAAAGAATCATGGGAGTTGTAGTTCAGCAACATCTGGGGGGCCGGAGTTTGAGGACCCCTGCCCTATACCATAGATAGAGCTCCTCTTAAGCTTTTAATACTTCATACACTTAACTAATCCCCCCCCCTTTACCCTACCATTATCTTTAACCTAGCCCTCATTTACACAACTGCATACTTTCACTATACTTACAGATTCAAATACAATACATACATTTATTTGTACATATGCAGTTATCAAATACCAGTATGTAATTATTAGAAGTTTTTATGCCTGTAAGGTCCAGTTAATACATTTAAGATCACTTTATTTGCAGTTTAGGTTTGTTTATTTATTGGGGTAGTGAGTTTTAGAATTCTGTGGCCACAGGCACGTGGGGAAAACATTGTTGAAACTATCTGAAGAGGTATGCATGAAAAGTGAATTAAATAGCATAATTAACAGATAAAAAGGGGTGGGAAACTATAAATGATATTCCCTGGTCAATTCCTGACAAAATGGAACTTAGAAAGTATACACAGACCTCTATGATTATTATTATCGCCATTTATATAGCGCCAACAGATTCCGTAGCGCTTTACAATATTAACAGTGTTTGTATTACATTTACATTTTGCTCCCATAATGCGTAAACATTTTTAAAGTTTGTTTTTGTTTTTTCTTCATTCCTACTGCCCTAGTGCCCTTATCACATTCTCTACCAGAGAGATTCAATTAAAATCTTTTGTCTATGGGCTCATGTTGATGATCTTTCCATATGCTTTGTTAATGCCACCTGCAGAACATCTACAGCAAAATCAACATCTTCCTTAGTGATGCACATGGGAGGCTTCACACGAAACGTCTGCAAATATAGAAAAAAACAATTGTGGAATTAAAATCTGTATTGAAATAAAATAATTATATATATCTGTAGTTCATACAATTTAAAATCCAATGTTAATAGCAAGGCTTAAAAATGCTAGCCACCGCAAAACTCCTGTAAGGTCACACATCTGTAATCTTTACTGCTGTGTGATGACAGAAACAAATTCTAAGAAAGTCTGAAAAAATCCCTTTTTTTTTTTTAATACATTTGCAATCATTTTGACTAACTGATTGAACAAATAACGCGGTAATCAAGTTAACTGCAGTGTGGTTAGGATAGGAGACCATTACATTTAAAAAAAAGATAAGAGTTAATCACAGTGATTTTTATAGTGTCCCTCTATATATGTATGTACTAGGAGAAAGGAACTTGTGATTTCTGTCCTATCAATCTGTCGGCAGATTTCAGCCATGCGACCATTGTAAGAATTAGCCACAACTACCAGGGATGAATGTCTACTGGCCATTGGCTAGTGGGTGAGTGGGAATTGAGGTCTGCTCAATGAGTTGATGCAAATCTGATACGGTTTTGATAGAACATTTATGAATTCAGAATCTCTATCCAGTTTATTTATATACTAATTTTGTTTTGAATATTTTTATTTTAAGCACATTAGGAATTTAGGCATCAAACTGATTTATAATAAGGCAAATGATTACCCACGCAGGGGCTGCAACATTGATCTAACACAGTATTCCTTTGGTTGCCTGCGCAGAGGCGGATTTGTTTTAAATGTTTCATTTGTATTTGGTGTTGCAAGTACAAGCAGGTAGTCTTTCTTGTTTCATGGAAAGCTTATGGTTGCCTGCGCAGAGGCGTTTCAGATAAAACGTGCAGGTACATTAGGAACTAGGATTTGCAACAGATACTTGCTCTACTAATCCAC